AAAAAAAAAACCCTTTTTAAATTAAGGTAGGCATGCAAGAGAGATGCTAGCTACGCTACCCTGAAGATATTTTGTTTAACTCATAATAGTCCCACCCACTTCATAAATGGGAAAGTAATAGTAAAATTTTTGGGTTGCTGCCAAATTTCTAAAAAAAATTTTGGGTTGCTTAGGTGTGAATGCATGTAATGTGTCCTGACTTGAGTCCAATTTCTAGAGTAGTCAACAAGAAAAATGGAACTGTGTAACGTTCAAAATGAATTTTTCTATCCTCAATCGTATCTGGCTGTACTTCATTTGATTGGCATTACATAGTCTTTTTATATTTTTTAATGATTTTCTACTAATAAAATGGGTGTTTTTTTTGTATATTGGATGATAATATATATAAAAATAATCTTTTATTTTTCTTGAATCATTTCTTATATAATTTTTTTTGAACAGCAAAATTTTTTTATTAATACAGTATAAGGGGTACTTTAAACCCGTAACATCTAAGTATGTAAATTTTCTATTTTGTGCACTGTTTACATTAATCTCATTCTCATTTTCAGTCCAGGCCCTTTCTTATATAACTCAAGATTTGAATATGAAATATTTAATTTGAAATCTTAGTCTTTTAATTAGTTGAGTCATTCCCTTGGAGCAAAATAATAACAATAATAATCATTTGACTTTTTGTATTTTGTATTTAATTAAAGACAGATCATTCAAGTAACGATTAAAAATTCATGAGAAATTATCTTGTATTGAGTTTAAATATACAAAGATATCACTACTCTTTCTTATTCAAGGATATATATAAAGTATATGCGTGTTTACCATAAAAGTACATATTATATGGTTCACGTTGGTGTGTCCATTAATGTCCTTTTCTAGGTCATTTCTGGTTTATGTCGCTAGCATATTGAGGATGTGGCCATCTGTAACACATGTTTTGAAAGAAAACCCAGCTGTATTAACCTAAATTAAATTCAATTCTTCCCCAAATTGACACACTAATAGTCTAGTACTAGGCAGGTAGTTAGGTTGAAGAAACCTCAAAAGAAGGGAGGCAAAGAAGTGAGGGTTGAATTTATTGGGCCCTCAAGAACAGGTGCAGGCTGCCATTAATACAAAATGTTTGTTATAAACTTCGTGACAGCAATATTGGTTGTATTGAAGTAGAGGACCTGTAAATTGTGCCAGAAAATATGAAAAAGATAACGTGTGTATGAAATGTATGATCCACTATTCCACTTTAATGCCAAATCAATAGCTGTCTCTCTTTCACGGTGGGAGCATTCAAAGCTAGTTGTGCCCATCGATGTTTCGAAATGCAGAGAAACATGCCTTTTCCCTGTCTTTAAATTAGAAAGAGGTGAAGTTTCTCGTCTTTTCTATTCTAACAATCTACTTTTCTTTTTTCTTTTTTTCTTTAAATGTTTTCATTTTTATGCTTTTTTTATGAGTTTTTCTAATGTATATCTTGAGAATGAGATTAAGAATAGCTTTATTTAATTTATTAATTATTTAATTAAATTATTCACTTAATAATATTATTAAAATTAATACAATTTTTAACTTTTTTTTAAACTATTTATGGCTTTTTATTCTAATTGTATTTTTTTAAAACATTGTTTACAGTATATTTGAGGTATCAGCTATTTAATAAAGGAATGGTTGTTTTCAATCAAAACTATACAAAAAGGTACCAACTAAGTTATGAAAGCATCAAAATACCTTCAAAAAAATAAATACTTCTGCAGCTAAAAAAGTACATTTCTAATTTATGCAGCTTAATTATCTTGCAAAATGATCCCAATACGACGCTCTGGCCTAATAGCCAAGGCCACTGGTTTGTTTGGACACCCAAGAAACAATATCAAGCTCGATCGGATACTCCCTTTCTCCTTCCCTTGTAAACATAAATATGCTATAGATGCTCTCTTTAAAATATATACATTATATTAGTACGTACTAGTATTATTTTGCAAAATATACGGCATGATAAGATAAGATACCAGTCAATAACATTAGTATGATTTTTCACATGAAGCTTATTCATTTTGCCACCCAATCAGAAGAGAAGCTACGGGTGGTTTTCCGCGTGATGGACAGGTTGTTTGTTAAAAATCAAGGATTCCCGAAGATGGAATGAAAATCCAAATATTTCATTAAAGTAAAAATAAATTAACTTTTAAATAGACTTTACAAGATAACATTATTTAGAAAGATAATTAATCAATTTTATCTAATCTAATTTAAATAATAACAACTTAAAACAAATAAATAATTTATACTTCTTAAATTATAAAAATAATAACTAAATAATAAAATTTAATTTCCAACATTGTTACCACTCTGTTTAACAAATGGAAACACAATTAGTGGGTTGAGCTCTCTATTCTTTCTACCCCTCCTACAAATATAAAATGTAGTAGACAATTCCCTTGTTCAGAAAAATAAATACACACAATCTCTTTTCTACATGGCATTTAAGTGACTTTTAGGAGACATTATTGTGAGTTACATTGATGTAAATTATACGTCGCATTTTAAAGTCAAAGAACACCTGCTATATAAAAGGGTCCTTGTGTTAGATAGGAAAGCAGAAGAAAAGCAAACATTAATTGCATCAAATTTAATGGTTTCTTTTGCTTGATTCGTTCAAGAACCAAAATTAAGTTTCCGATGTGACATTAATTTTCAAACCCAAACTGTTGGGTGAGTTTTGTAGCAGAAAAAAAAAATGCAAACAGAAAATATTGTTGTATGTAGACTTCGTTTGAAAGTATTAGGTTAAACTGTTGTTGTTTTATTTTAAAAATCTATAAAATAATAATTAAAATTATCTTAATTTTATATATAATGTATTGTGACAAAAAAAATAAAAGTATTGGCTCTAGCACTCTTAATCGAAGCTGTAAAATTAGAAGGGAAGAGCATATTTATTTATGTTGTAGTATTTGGAAGCATTTAGATTTAAAGAGCAAGTGGTTAGTCGTTGGATGATTGATCTATCCAACCGTAAGCTCTAAGTTCCGACCCCCAACTTGCCGTGCTGGTCAAACTCAAAGCTTTAATTTGATAACAACCAATGTTTATCCCAGATGAATTCCCACCGCATCAATCAAAACCGTTCTATCTTCCTTTCAATACTTTCCAAAATTGAGCTGATTCCGGTGAATAATAAAAAAACGGTCCTTTTCCACTTGCCATTGTGTAGGTAAAGTTATAAATTTGATGGACAGGATAGAAGTCATGGCGTTCAATGAACAAGTTTCCTAGAATTTTCCCTCAGCCTTCATGTTTATGAGAGTTAAGGGTGCAACGTCTCGATAATTAAGAAATTTAAACTTATTAAAAATGTTAAGTTTAAATTAGATATTAATTTCTAAAAAATTATAAAAGTTAAGGGTGGACAGAATTAAAGATGGAGTCAATGTTGACAGGGTGCATCAAAATTCAGAAAGAACCATCACCACATCATGGGCATGGGTCATTTAGCTTAGCTGTTAAATGGACAGCGAAACAGAACTGGGGAATGACAATTTTACCAAGGAAGACAGAGGAGCCGGATGCTCCACCTTTCACAATTAATAGCGGTTGCAAGGGAGAGAGATTGCCCTGGTCCCTGGCGGTTCCTCTTACTTTAGGATGATGGTAAGAAAACGTGCAAATAAGGATGTTAATTTTGTATTTTTTTTAAATTTGAAAATGTTAATTTTATTAATTTTTAAATAAAAATGTCAATTTTTAACTTTTAATTTTTTTTTTCTATTTGAAGATCCCAACTTTCAATATTCATATTTGTTTGTTATATTAGCATTATCATTTAATTTATTTTTAAATTAAAAAAAAGGTTAAAAATTGATATCTTTAAATAAAAAAATAAAAATTAACATTATTAAATAAAAAAATTTAAAAGTTAATATCATTATTTAGAAATTAACAAATTTAATATCTTTAAATTAAAAAAATGCAAACCTAACTTTTTTATTTACGCCTTTTCTCGGTCTATGGTTCTTGGTAGAGGTGGCAACTAGGTGAGTTGGG